CGTAGTAGTCGTCGTAGTCAGCAGTAGTAGTCGTAGTCGTAGTAGTCGTAGTAGTCGTAGTAGTCGTCGTCGTCGTCGTAGTAGTAGTAGTAGTACTACTACTAGAAGTAGTAGTAGTAGTAGTAGTAGTAGTAGCAGTACGTTGGTAGTAGTAGTAGTAGTAGTAGTAGTAGTGGTAGTACTAGTAGTAGTAGTAGTATTAGTAGTAGTAGTAGTAGTAGTAGTAGTAGTAGTAGTAGTGTGTAGTAGTAGTGGTAGTTGTAGTAGTAGTCGTAGTAGTAGTAGCCGTCGTAGTAGTAGTAGTAGTAGTAGTAGTAGTAGTAGTAGTAGTAGTAGTAGTAGTAGTAGTAGTAGTATTAGTAGTAGTAGTAGTAGGTAGTAGGTGGTAGTATGTAGTAGTAGGTAGTAGTAGGTAGTAGTAGATAGTAGTAGGTAGTAGGTAGTAGTAGTGGTGGTGGCAGTAGTAGTAGTAGTAGTAGTAGTAGTAGTAGTAGTAGTAGTAGTAGTAGTAGTAGTAGTAATAATCGTAGTAGTAATAGTCGTCGTCGTCGTCGTAGTCGTAGTTGTAGTCTCAGTCGTGGAAGTAGTGGTGGGTGTAGTAGTTGTGGTCGTACCCGTAACATTGTTATATACACAGCTGCTACTAGTGAGTAAAGTATTCAGACGGGTACTGATTGTTGTCATGCTAATGCTGGTACTTCACATCGGATCAGTCATCGATTCTTATGTGAATCGGATACGGGCCTGTGGTGAACCGTGCACGGTTCCTCTGTGGCTCTAATTGGTATTTTGTGAACCGTATACGGTTTTATGAGTCTAATCCTGAAGGGGGCCTACAGAACCTTAAGGAGCCCCAAAGGTGTCGAAGGAATCATAAAGAGCCTTGAAGTAATCCGAACGACGCTTCTTCGGCTCCTGGAAGGATGCTTAGGGCCCTGGGCGTGAACAGCAGAAGCAAAACGAAAAGGTGGAGTGGACTCGGAGTCGGCCTCGGACTTTGCCACGGGAGGGCTGGCGGGGGACTGGTAAGTTGGCGCCGTGGCGCCGCTGTGCTTTACAGTGCAATCAACAGCCACGCGATGTGAAAACTGAATGAATGTGAAACGCGCCTGGTGTGTATATTATTCGCAGTGCAGGGAGGAAAGGAAAAGCGGCACAAGGGGCAAACAGGATAAACCGTACATTGTGCAAGGAAGGCAGTGTCACACAAGTGAGACATAAAACAACCGCCCAAGTACGTTCGCGCGTCAGATGTGGAGGTCCTGCCCTAAGCCGTGTCTCTTGTAAGATATCCGCAGCCCGTGTTTTCTTCGGTCTGCCAGTGTGGCGGTGTCTCCATGCGTGCATTTCGTCGTTCTTCGACGGCTTCCATAGAAGAGCTCCCCGCATCCACGAGCCGTTTCCCAAAGTGGCCAATCGCACAGCCCAGTGCTCTTTGCGTCGATTCTGGCTTGAGCCAAGATGGCTACGGAGCAGGTGCCGAGGAGGGCGAGAGGGAAGGAGGATGCGCATGAGTGCGGGGCGGGGGTCCAGCGCTAGAGAGGGAAGGAGGGTGCGCAGGAGTGCGGGGCGGGGGTCCAGCGCCAGAGAGGGAAGGAGGATGCGCAGGAGTGCGGGGCCGGGGTCCAGCGCCAGAGAGGGAAGGAGGATGCGCAGGAGTGCGGGGCCGGGGCGGGGGTCCAGCGCCAGAGAGGGAAGGAGGATGCGCAGGAGTGCGGGGCCGGGGCGGGGGTCCCCCCTCCCATCAAGCGCCAGAGAACAAGGAGGATCGCAGGCGTGCTGGGCCAGGGTCGGGGGTCCAGCGCCTGAGAGGCAGGGGGGTGCGCAGGAGTGCGGGGCGGGGGTCCAGCGCCTGAGAGGGAAGGAGGATGCGCAGGAGTGCGGGGCGGGGGTCCAGCGCCAGAGAGGGAAGGAGGACGCGCAGGAGTGCGGGGCCGGGGCGGGGGTCCAGCGCCAGAGAGGGGAGGAGGGTGCGCAGGAGTGCGGATCGGGGGTCCAGCGCCAGAGAGGGAGGGGGGGTGCGCATGAGTGCGGGCGGGGGTCCAGCGTCAGAGAGGAAGAGGATGCGCAGGAGTGCTGGGCGGGGGTCCAGCGCAGTAGAGGGAAGGAGGATGCGCAGGAGTGCGGGTGCCGGGCGGTTCCACGCGCCAGAGAGTGAAGGAGGAATGGCGCAGGAGTGCGGCCGGGCGGGGTCCACGCCAGAGAGGAAGGAGGATGCGCAGGTGTGCGGGGCGGGGGCGGTGGTCCACGCCTGAGAGGGAAGTGTTGCCGGCAGGGGAGTGTGATCTGGGGGCTGTGGTCCATCTCCTGAGAGGGAAGGGAGGATGCGCAAGGAGTGCGGGCGGGGTCCAGCGCCAGATTGGGAAGGCAGGACCGCAGGAGTGCAGGCCGGGGCGGGGGTCCCAGCTCCGGAGAGTGGAAGGGGAGTGCGGGGCGGAGGAGTGCGGGCGGGTCCACGTCAGAGAGGGAAGATGTGCGCAGGATGCGGGGCGGGGGTTCCAGCGCCAGATAGGGAACCAGATGCGCAGGAGAGCCGGGGCCGGGGGTCCAGACGCCAGAGAGGGAAGAGGGTGCGCAGGAGTGCGGGGCGGGGGTCCAGCGCCAGAGAGGGAAGGAGGGTGCGCAGGAGTGCGGGGCGGGGGTCCAGCGCCAGAGAGGGAAGGAGGGTGCGCAGGAGTGCGGGGCTGGGGCGGGGGTCCAGCGCCAGAGAGGGGAGGAGGGTGCGCAGGAGTGCGGATCGGGGGTCCAGCGCCAGAGAGGGGGAGCTGAGGTTTGAGGGAGGCAGCTGTGGCCCAGGCGAGAGGGCCGTGGCCCCGCCCAGAGCCTGCAGGGGGGGGTGCCTCCAAGGCCCTCGGGAGGCCCCGCAGGAGCCTCTCAGGAGGCCTCTCGGGAGGCCCTCTTGGGAGCCTCGCGGAGGCCTCGTCGGAGCCTCGCAGAGGCCTCTTGGAGCCTCGCAGAGGCGCAGACAGACGCGTCTCAGGAGCCTCGCAGAGCCCTCGCACGAGCCTCGCAGAGGCCTCTCAGGAGGCTCGCATTGGCCTCTCTGGAGCCTCGCAGTCGCATCTTCGGAGCCTCGCACAGGCCTCTTAGGAACTTCGCAGAGGCCTCTTAGGAGCCTCGCAGAGGCCTCGTAGGAGCCTCGCAGTCGCCTTGTAGGAGCCTCGCAAAGGCCTCCCAGGAGCAGGTATAGAGTTCCTCGCACCGGGGAAGTCCCACCAGGGATTTTTCGGGGCTCAAGAGACGGGGGTCAATGCAAACGGGGGTCAGCCAGGGCACTGGATCTTGCAGGATCCTGCGAAGACCCCCCCGCGAGGCGGCCGCGCATATTGGCTGACCCGGGTTAAAAAAAAAGACCTGCGTTGCAGTGCTTCTTTCCTGCATTGCAGTTTTTTGGTTTCCTGCTGCCCCGGGTCTGGATCGACTCGGGTCAGAAGATCCCCGCTTTCTTTTTTCACTTCCACCGGAGACCGAGCCGTCTCACCAGGGAGCAAGCCCTTCGACAAGGGAATCTTGTTTCTTGCTGTGGACCCGCAGATAGTGGAATGTTACCGTTTCGCTATTTGTAGCCTTGTAGATAGGCCCTCAACCCGATGAGGGGCGATCCACGCAAAACAAAATCTTGTCTCTCGAGCGGCGACGGGCCTGGCGCTCGAGGAGGAGGAGGAGGAGGAGGAGGAGGAGGAGGAGGAGGAGGAGGAGGAGGAGGAGGAGGAGGAGGAGGAGGGGAGCAAGCCCTTTGACAAGGGAATCTCGTCTCTCGAGCGGCGACGGGCCTGGCGCTTGAGGAGGAGGGCCCCAGGGGAGAGGGGCCGGGCGGCCACGGGCCCAGGGAAAGGGGGGGCGCAGGGTCCTCCTCCTCCTCCTCCTCCTCCTCCTACGCAGATACGACGGCTCGAACGAAAAACAAAAAAAACACAAAACAAAAAATCACAAAACAAAGATACGACGGCGCGAACGGACATGCCCCTCACGCACGCCGACAGGGTCCGCGGATGTCTTAAAAGGGGCAGGGATTTCAGGAGTCCTTTCCCCCCCCCCTGCTTCCCCCCCTTCTCATCGCCCGCTCTCAGCGTGCCGATCGGTGTCGCCAGCAGTTTGCCTTTCGGCCCTCGTCCTGCCGGGGTCGCCTCGCTGTTGCAGGTCCTCCCTCCTCCCCTGTCCTTTGTTTGATTCGCAGTGTATCAACTTGCCGATACCAGCAGGGGCGCATTCGTTACCTGGGCCCAAAAACACTCAAACCCGTGCCGCTAGCTGTGCCAAGCGCAGGACGGATATGGCGGAGCCCTTGTGCATCACGATCAGCTCGACCGCCGGCACAAATCGTGCGGTGCTCGAGGACGCTATCATTCGCTACTCGTGCGCTTCGTAAGTCGTGAGCTTGAGTGTCAGTGCGCCGCGCCAGCTTGTCATCGTCAGACCCATCCCCATCACCGCTGGGACAACCTAGGGTCGGACCCCGCCGTGGCCTCATGGGGACACTCCAGGATGCCCCAAACGCCATCGCAAAACGTCCAAGAACCTCGATTCGGTATCACCCAAACGTATTGGTACTATGTGTGCGTCGGCCCCTCGGGGGCATGCGCGCGCTCATGCATCTCATAGGACATGCTCAGCGGCGGGCGCTTTCTGGCTATCTCTCACGGGTAACGATCTATCTATCTATAGATATATATATACACATATACATAGACATATATATATATATATATATATATATATATCTATATAGATATGTATTATTGCACGCTTGTTCTGTATGTCAAGTTCGGGCGTGCGTGTCCAGGGGGGGTGCACGTTACTGCCGTGCCCTCCCGCGTCCCACTCGACCGCAGTCGACCCCCGATCTTCCCTACCTCGCTGCACCCCTCGGCGAGCCCTCCGCCCCCCTCCTCCTCCTCCTCCTCCTCCTCCTCCTCCTCCTCCTCCTCCTCCCATTCCTCCTCCTCCTCCTCCTCCTCCTCCTCCGCCCCCCTGTCGCCCGTGCCGTCTCGGCCCTGGAGCCTTCCCCTGCCTGCCGCCACCGACCGCGCACGCGCGTGCGGGCCGGTCCTGGGGCAGGGGGGATGCAGTCATAGTCGTCGTCGTCGTCGTCGTCGTCGTCGCTGTCGTCGTCGTCCAGGGAGGGGGAGGAGGAGGAGGAAGAAGAGGAGTAGGGGGAGGAGGAGGAGGAGCAGGAGGAGAATGAGCAGGAGAAGGAGGATGAAAAGGAGGAGGAGGAGGAGGAGGAGGACGAGGACAAGGAAGAGGCATGATGATGATGATGATGCTGATGCTGATGCTGATGATGATGCTGATGCTGATGACGATGCTGATGACGATGATGATGATGATGATGATGATGATGATGATGATGATGATGATGGTGATGGTGATGGTGATGGTGATGATGATGATGATGATGATGATGATGATGATGATGATGTGATGATGATGATGATGATGATGATGAGATTGATGAGATGATGATGATGATGAGATGATGATGATGATGATGATGATGATGACTGATGCTGCTGCTGATGCTGCTGCTGCTGCCGCTGCCGCTGCCGCTGCTGCGCTGCCGCTGCCGCTGCCGCTGCCGCTGCCGCTGCCGCTGCCGCTGCTGCCGCTGCCGCAGCTGCTTGCTGCTGGCTGCTGCTGCTGCTGCTGATGATGATGATGATGGTGGGGTGGTGGTGGTGATGATGATGATGATGATTGATGCTGATGATGCTGATGCTGATGCCGATGATGAGATGATGATGATGATGATGATGATGATGATGATGATGATGTGATGATGATGATGATGATGTTGATGATGATGATGATGAATGCTGATGATGATGATGATGATGATGATGATGATGATGATGATGATGATGATGATGATGATGATGATGATGATGATGATGATGATGATGATGATGATGATGATGATGATGATGATGATGATGATGATGATGATGATGATGATGATGATGATGATGATGATGATGATGATCCAAAAAGTCCCAACAGGGCTGCAAGCGGATCCCGAGATGGCCTTATGGAGCACACATCAAACACTCCCTGTACAGGTTTTTGAGCGTTCTCGCATTTTAAATAATTACAGCTTCCAACATGCCAAACGGCTCAAGATGCCGCCGAGATTGTTCCAAGACGGCCCACGATGCTCCCAAGATGGCCCCAAGACGGCCCAAGAGGGCCCGAAGATGGCCTGAGAGTCTCCCAGGTCCAAACGGAGGAAAGGTATGGTTCTGACAAACGGGCGGTCTGAACGCTGAAAACATGTCATTCGGACAGCGGCCGGTCCAAACGGGGAGAACGCATGGTTCTGAAAGCGGGTGGTACAAGCTGTGAAAGCACAGGGCTTCTGCACTCTCTGCCTATGCGAGCTCCGAGCAGAGATGGTCGGTCCAAGTTGGGAAATCTGGTCGGTCCAAACGCGGAAAACACGTGGTTCTGGAAAGCGGGCGGCCCAAACGGGAAGAACGCGACATGCGGACAGCGGACGGTCCAAACAGTCCAAGAGCGCCCTCGACACTTGCCGAAACTGGCGATTCTGTTAGGGACATCCTTCAACAAACAATGACCAATCTCCAACATCGCATGTGTAAAAGGATGTTTCAACCATCGTCTTGACATCTCTCCTGCAGGGCCTTAAGACGGCTAAGGACACCCGAGAGTCTCCTCAGGCGCTACACTGGGGCCCCAAGACTCCCCAAGCGACAAGGACGAGGGAAGGAGAGGACGTAAGAGGAGGAAGGATGGACAAGCCAGCGATCTCGCGCCATCATAGCGTAATTGCGTTTTCCGTCCCCGTGCCACGCACGTCTCATCTCGCCACCGTGCCTTGGATCGATCGCTCGGCGTCTCGAGGCCCTCACGCACGGTCGGAGAGGCCTCTTGCCTTCGAGGCCCGAAACAGTCATGGTGGAAGACGCCCCTGTCGCGCCAGGAACCCCGGGAGATTTTTGAAAATTTTGGGTCTGGGCTCCCTGAAAGATCGTCAGGATTGAGGACTGAGGCTCAGGGGATTGGGCAAGGGACCCGAGGACACTCCAACTCGTGGCTCGCAGGCGCGGTGGCGGATGCCCTTGCACTCTGGACGTGTAGGCTGCGGGTCCAGGAGCGACCAAATGTCGATCCTCCTCCTCCTCCTCCTTCCTCCTCGTCCTCCTTCCTCCTCCTCCTCTTCCTCCTCCTCCTCCTCCTCCTCCTCCTCCTCCTCCTATAAGGGGATCGGCTCAGGGGGGGGAGGCCTCGACCCCCGATCGCTCATCCATCGCCCGAGAAGGGGCCCCATCCGATAAGGGGCCCCCGCTCCTCCCGTCGCCGGAGGTCTCCAGGGGCCTCCGCACGGCGGCCGCCCGGAGGCCGCCCGGAGGCCCAGCCGGGGCGCGGGGCGACCGGGCAGGGGCCGCCGAGGTGGCCTTGCTCTCCAGGTGGCGGCGCGAGGGCGCGGCGGCGACGGCGCGCCGCGCCTCGCGGGGCGCGAGGCATGCGCGAAGTGGGGTCCGAGCATGGGGCTTATACGTCTGCACCGCCTGGGGATCGCCGCCTCCTCCGCCTCGAGGGCGGGGGATTGTGTGGAGCCGCACGCCTTTCGGAGGGTGTGTTCCGTTTCTCATCTCCCTCCTCCTTTTGTCTTCCCCTTGTCCTCCTATACCTCTTCCTCCTCCTCCTACTCTTCCTCCTCCTCTTCCTCCTCCTCCTCCTCCTCCTTCTACCCGGCCCCCAGAGTCGACCTTTTCGCTGTTCCTGCCCCCCCCAAAAGAAAACGGGGAGCGGCATTCCGTTTTTTCCCCACATGCTTCGTGGGGTTCTGGTTTTCTTCCCTGCCGCGCCGCACCCGCGACATTCACACCTCACTCTTCCCTTCCTCCTCACAGCACTGCTCAGCACATCTCAGCTCAGCTCAGCTCAGCTCAGCACGGCACAGCTCAGCACGGCACAGCTCAGCACGGCACAGCACAGCACAGCACAGCACTTTCTCACTTGCATTAGTGCTGACAGCACACACACACATATTCACAGCACATGTACACACAGCACACATACACACAGACACTAACAGACACAGACACACATAGACACACACAGACACACATACACACATACATACACAGGCACAACGACACAGACACATACACACAGACACACAAGCACACACAGACACACAGACACTACCTCACCCACGCGCAACACCTGCACGGCACGTACACGAGACACGCGTAGCACACTTCACAACACAGCGTGGCATTGCCTCGACACCAGAGGGGGTGCGCAGGGGGTGGTCTCCCTATGCGTGCCAGGGTCGTCCAGGCATAGCAGGCGTGGCAGTTTCTCGACACCAGTTTCTCGACACCAGAGGGGGTGCGCAGGGGGTGGTCTCCCTATGCGTGCCAGGGTCGTCCAGGCATAGCAGGCGTGGCATTTTCTCGACACCAGAGGGGGTGCGCAGGGGGTGGTCTCCCTATGCGTGCCAGGGTCGTCCAGGCATAGCAGGCGTGGCATTTTCTCGACACCAGAGGGGGTGCGCAGGGGGTGGTCTCCCTATGCGTGCCAGGGTCGTCCAGGCATAGCAGGCGTGGCATTTTCTCGACACCAGAGGGGGTGCGCAGGGGGTGGTCTCCCTATGCGTGCAGGGTCGTCAGGCTAGCGCGTGGGGTTCTCTCCACCAGAGGGGGTGCGCAGGGGGTGGTCTCCCTATGCGTGCCAGGGTCGTCCAGGCATAGCAGGCGTGGCATTTTCTCGACACCAGAGGGGGTGCGCAGGGGGTGGTCTCCCTATGCGTGCCAGGGTCGTCCAGGCATAGCAGGCGTGGCATTTTCTCGACACCAGGGGGGTGCGCAGGGGGTGGCTATGCGTGCCAGGGTCGTCAGGCACACCAGAGGGGGTGCGCAGGGGGTGGTCTCCCTATGCGTGCCAGGGTCGTCCAGGCATAGCAGGCGTGGCATTTTCTCGACACCAGAGGGGGTGCGCAGGGGGTGGTCTCCCTATGCGTGCCAGGGTCGTCCAGGCATAGCAGGCGTGGCATTTTCTCGACACCAGAGGGGGTGCGCAGGGGGTGGTCTCCCTATGCGCGCCAGGGTCGTCCAGGCATAGCAGGCGTGGCATTTTCTCGACACCAGAGGGGGTGCGCAGGGGGTGGTCTCCCTATGCGTGCCAGGGTCGTCCAGGCATAGCAGGCGTGGCATTTTCTCGACACCAGAGGGGGTGCGCAGGGGGTGGTCTCCCTATGCGTGCCAGGGTCGTCCAGGCATTGCAGGCGTGGCATTTTCTCGACACCAGAGGGGGTGCGCAGGGGGTGGTCTCCCTATGCGTGCCAGGGTCGTCCAGGCATAGCAGGCGTGGCATTTTCTCGACACCAGAGGGGGTGCGCAGGGGGTGGTCTCCCTATGCGTGCCAGGGTCGTCCAGGCATAGCAGGCGTGGCATTTTCTCGACACCAGAGGGGGTGCGCAGGGGGTGGTCTCCCTATGCGTGCCAGGGTCGTCCAGGCATTGCAGGCGTGGCATTTTCTCGACACCAGAGGGGGTGCGCAGGGGGTGGTCTCCCTATGCGTGCCAGGGTCGTCCAGGCATTGCAGGCGTGGCATTTTCTCGACACCAGAGGGGGTGCGCAGGGGGTGGTCTCCCTATGCGTGCCAGGGTCGTCCAGGCATGCAGGCGTGGCATTTTCTCGACACCAGAGGGGGTGCGCAGGGGGTGGTCTCCCTATGCGTGCCAGGGTCGTCCAGGCATTGCAGGCGTGGCATTTTCTCGACACCAGAGGGGGTGCGCAGGGGGTGGTCTCCCTATGCGTGCCAGGGTCGTCCAGGCATAGCCTCTAGTGCGGGATTGCGTATTACCTCTCGTATCCAAGTGCCAGGCGACGCCGGATATGACCGTCAAAGATGACTCCTCAACCCCTCCTCTCCCCCCACACGTCCTCCCCCTCCTTTCAACGACCACAGGGGGCACCTGAGAGCATGACGGCGGTGGTAGTGATAGCGCGGTTTACACAAGACATAACATCAGTATGTGGGATTCCTCGGTAGCGTAATTTTTGTGGGGGAAGGACTCCCTACTCTCCTCAGCTTTGCCCCGCTCTCCTCATTCCTCTCTCCCCTGCCCTCCTCCTCCTTCCCTCCCCCAGAATCGCGCTTTTTGCTTCTCCTGTGCCCCCCCTCCTTTTTTTGGGGGCTCCACCTCCTCCTCCGCGCTGCTCCGCTCCCTCCTTCCTCTCTCCCCCGCCCTCCTCCTCCTCCTCCTTCCCCAGAATATAGTTCTTTTTCTATTGAAATACCCAGCTTGGCATTGCATTGGCATTGGTCTGGCCATGGTTTGTCATCGCATTGGCATTGCGTTGGCATAGCGCTTGGCAGTACGTTGGCATTGCGCTTGCATGTCGCAAGCACTGCGCTGGCGGGTCCTGATGGAATCCTCCACAAAAGGACTCATATTGAAACCCTCTACCAGACGGACTCCTATTGAAACCCTCCACAAACAAGGTTTCATTCAGATTGAAACCCTAGACAGAAGGATTCCATGCGAAGCCCTCCACATAAGGATTCCTACTGAAATCTATCACGCATGCTTTCCCCCATTGGCATTGCATTGACATTGGGTTGGGATCGCCTTGGCATTAAGTTGGCATTGCGTTGGCACTGCTTTGGCATTGCGCTGGGGAGTTCCAATAGCTCCCTTCGCAGAGTGATTTCTGTTGAACCCCACACAAGAAGGATTCCGATTGAAGCATTTCACAAGAAAGGGTCAGATTGGACCCATTCGAAGCCCTCCATATAAGGAATCCCATTGAAACCAACCACAAGCGATTTCCCCCAGGTATTTCATTGGGATTGGATTGGGATTGCCATGGCATTGGTTTGGCATTGCGTTGGCACTGCTTTGGCGTTGCGCTGGCGAGTTCTAATGGCTCCCACAATAGAAGGATTCCCATTGACACCTTCCACACGAAGGGTTCTTTTTGAAAGCCCCCACATGAAGGGTTCATGGTCAAACCCTCCACAGAAGGATTCTTGCCGAAACCCTCCACAATAAGATTCCTGCCGACATTCTCCGAAGAAGGATCCGCAACCAAATCATCCACATAAGGATTTCTGTGGTAATCTGTTGAAAGGTTGGAATCATGCCATCGGCACTGCATTGGCATTGGTTTGGTAACGGTTTGGCATCGCATTGGTATTGCGTTGGCATTGCGATGGCAGTGCGTTGGCATTGCGCTGGCGAGTCCCAGCCAAACACTCCACAGAAGGATTCCGATTGAATACGTCCACAATAATGATGCCTACGGATCCCCCCACAATAAGGATTTACATTGCAATCCTCCACAGAAAGGGTTCCATGCGAATCCTTCCATATAAGAATGCCTATTGAAATCCTCTGAAGAAGGGTCCTCAGAAGGATTCCTTTGTGGATGACATCATCAACAGAAGGGTTCTTAGACGGATTGCTATTGAACGCTACCACAAGCAATCCACCACATTGGCGTTGCATTGGCATTACGTTTGGATCGCCTTGGCGTTGGTTTGGCATTCCGTTGACATTGCGTTGGCATTGCGCTGGCGAATCCTAATCCCCCACTTCGCAGAACGATTCCTATTGAAACCGTCCACAAGCAACAAACGGCCCCCCCATTGGCATTGCATTGGCATTGGATTGGGACCGCCTTGGCATTGATTTGGCATTGCGACGGCAGTGCTTCGGCATTGCGTTGACATTGCGCTGGCGAGTCCTAATGGCTCCCTCCGCAGAATGACTCCTACTGAACCCCCAACAAGGAGGATTCCTAGCGAAACCCTCCACAGGAGGATCCCGATCGAAACCCTCCGCAGAGGCGTTCCTGTTGAAATCCTCCGAAGACGGATTCGTAACGACACCGTCCACAAAGGATTCTTATCAAATCCACCGAGCGAAAGGATTCCCCCCTTGGCATTGGATTGTGCGCTTCTTTTGCATTGCGCTGGCACTGCGCTAGCGAGTCCTTGTGCCTCCCTTCGCATAACGATTCGTATTGAAACCCTCTAGAAATAGGATTCCTTTCGACATCTACCACACAGGCTCCCCCCATTGGCATTGCATTGGCATTGGACTGGGACCGTCTTGGCATTGGTTTGGCATTGCGATGGCAGTGCTTCGGCATTGCGTTGGCATTGCGCTGGCGAGTCCTAATGGCTCCCTCCGCAGAAGGACTCCTACGGACCCCCCACAAGAAGGATTCCCAGTGAAACCCTCCACAGGAGGATCCCGATCGAAACCCTCCGCAGAGGCATTCCGATTGAAATCCTCCGAAGAAGGATTCTTAACGACTCCGTCCACAAAGGATTCTTATCAAATCCACCGAGCGAAAGGATTCCCACATTCACATTGCATTGGCATTGGCATTGGTTGGTAATGGATTGGTATCGCATCGGCATGCATCGATCTGGTGCAGGAGATCGATCGATAGAGAGAGAGAGAGAGACAAAGAGAGATAAATAGAGAGGGATACCACGAGATACGAGAGAAGCATATTATGAGGGGATCACGGCGAACAGAAAAATGGCAACACACATCGAAGTTTATAAAGATGAAGGAGCGTTCCACTCGATAAAACCCATATCAAAACAACGTGCGACTCCACAATCGCCCGGCCTCGAGAACCCCCCTCCTCCTCCTCCTGCTCCTCCTCCTCCTCCTCCTCCTCCTCCCTCCTCCCAGCAGGTGCTCTCCGAGGGGTTTGAATCCCAGGAACGCGCCTGGAGTCTTGGTGCAAGGCGTGCGATGACTTCCCCAGTCGGCGCTGGGCTCCTCCCTCCTCTCGTCCCCCCCCGCCTCGGGCCATCACTTGAGATTCGGGCGGCCGCTTGGGACGATCGGGACACACCCAAACTCCTCTCGACGAGGCGCATGCGCTTGAAAGCACCTAGGGGGCCGAAGGCCTCCACAAAAACGCCGAAAACTTGCGCAAACCACCGCAGACCGTCGAACACACCGAGAACTCCCCCGGCCCCCTCCTGTACGGTAGCTTCGTTGCGTGCGGGGTGTTCAAGGTGGAACCCGCGAGAGGCCCCGAGTCGACCAATATGTGGAACGACCTGGCGATCGGAACTCCGCCGATCGTGAAAGGTTCAGCGATCCACGCGGTTTCAGAACCTGACGCCGGGGTCGTCACGTCACGAACCTGCCGTAGTTGATCATTTCTTCCAGGACACCTATTGTGGTGGTATTCTCGACGAGGTTCTTCCTGAGGGCCGCGCTCGAACAATGGGCTGGGCGCCATCCTCGGACACATGAAAAAAAGGTTCAGGGGGAGAGTGGTAATGATAGGGCCAACGAGAAAGAGGCCGAAGAAGTGAAGGAGCAACCACGGGGAGCATGAGGAAGATCATTATGTTCCTCAGGATTGTGTGTGTGTGTGTGTACCCTCCCCTGCAGTACCCTCCCCGAGCACAGGGCCCGCCGGAGCCGCAGCCATGATCAACTTCATCCCCAAGGCGCACCCCTCGGTGGCCCTGCTCTACGGGAAGCGCCCGCTGCAGGCCCGCCGCATCCGTTCCCGCTTGCGCATAGCACGCCTTGAGACCCCCAGAGGGGTCGGCGGATTTTCCCTTGGCTGTTGGTTGATGTTCCGTACACAGCCAAGACGCTGACATAAGGGCCACTTTGGGGTGAAGGTTGGACCCAGGTTTTGGGGCCTTTCCTCAGACTCACGTCGGGGAACCTGCTCGTGGCTGGGGCTCGCCGTTCCCAGAACAGCCCCTTCGTTCCTTCTGTAGCGTTCCCCATGGTAGAACGATGGCTGTACAGGCCTTTCCGCTCCTCAGGGTGCCCACGACGGGCCAGGTGGGCCCCAATATGGTTTCAGCATGGCCTTCGCTGTCCCGAAGGGGGCCCAAAGAAGGGCCCACGCTGGCCTCTGCGGCCTCGGAGTTCTCCGAGACGGCTAAGAGCGACCGCGAAGACGGATCCACACGCCCCCAAGATGGCACTTCCAACATGCGTCCAGCAGGCTCGAATACCGTCCAACTTGGCTGGACGAAACCAGGACGCTCCTGAATGATGCCCCCGAGAAGTGATGCGTTGCACGCGTGGTGCGCATGGTGTTCGTGTCGTTTGCTCGTAGTGCCCATGGTGTGCTTGGTGTGTCTGACAGCTCGCGCCACCTAGTTTGCACCGCATAGCTCGCACCCCCTAGCTTGCTTCACACAGCTTGCACGCATAGCTTGCACGCCATAGCCGCGCGCACTGCATAGTTTCCACTGCATATCTTTAACCACTTAGCTTACACACACGAGCTTGCACCGCATAGTTTAGTTACCATAGCTTACTCCACATATAGTTTGCACCACACACCTTACACATACAGAGCGCATGACGTCACTGTTTGGGGTGCACGCTGGTCACCTTGATTGCTCTGTTGTACGAGCTGTCGGGTGTATTAATAGAACCATGTGTTTGCATCATAGAACTAATACGGCCCACGCAGCAAGACTGCGGTGCCTGTCAATGTTACTAGACTGGCAGTTCGACTCCAGTGTTCGTCGCGGACTTCTGTCTGTCCGTCAGCTGACATGTGGCGTTGACCAGCCCCGCGATAGAACCTGTGCGCGCGCGAAGCGCGTGATTGGTTTTAGTTGCATACTATCTTGCCGTCTGTGGCAAGTGCCGCCAGAGTGCCAGCCCATAATTATCGATGGCAGCTGCTCGAATCGAGGAGGATGATGATGACGATGACGACGATGAGCGGATGGTAACGCGGAGATGAGGCAGTGGAATATCGTCGCGGACGAGGGGGATGGTCATGACGACGATGACGACGATGATGGTGATGCGGGCGATGATGTTGCTGATATTGTTGATGATGGTGACGACGATGATGCTGATGCATGATGCTGCTGATGATGATGCGGACGATGATGTTGGCAAAACGCTTAATACGCTTGCCGATGCTGCTGATGATGATGCCGATTATGCTGATGCTGAGGATGAGGATGATGTGATGACGATGATGGCGCTGGTGATGCTGTGGATGATGATGATGATGGTGCCGGTTATTTTGATGGTGACGGTGCTGCTGATGATGATGATACAGACGCTGATGCTGATGCTGGTTGTCATGATGCTGACGTTGCGGTAGACGATGTTGAGGCTGTTTAAGATGGCGATGATGCCGACAACGACGATGATCATGCTGATTATGATGATGCTGCTGCTGTTGATGATGATGCTGCTGATGCTGCTGCTGATGATGCTCATAATCATGATGCTGATTCTGATGATGCTGCTGCTGATGATTAGGATGCTGATGCTGCTGATGACGATGCTCTTGCTTATGCTTAGGGTATATGCTGATGGTTCTGCCGAACACACTGATGCTGCTGATGATAACGATGCTGATAGTGACGAGGGCGATGTTGCTGCTGTTACTGACGACGATGATGATGCGGTTGCTGCTGCTGCTGATGATGATGATGGCGATGCCATTGACGACGACGACAATTATGATCATGATGCTGATGAATCTAATGATGCTGATACCGATAACGATGATGCTGATGATGATCATGCTGATGATGCTGATGATGCTAATGCAGATGAGGGTTATGATGCGACTGCTGATGACGATGATGATGACATTGATGGTGATGATGATGCTGATGATGACGATGATGATGGGGATTCTGAGGATGATGATGCTGATGATGATGCTGCTGATGATGATGATGATGATGGCAAAGCTTATCATGCTGACGATGCTGAAGCTGGTGTTGATTTTGTTGATGATAGTGGTGGTTCTGATGATGAGGATGATGATAAGGATGATGCTGAGGATGTTGTTGTTGTTGTTGTTGTTGTTGTTGTTGTTGTTGTTGTTGTTGTTGTTGTTGTTGTTGTTGTTGGTGAAGATAATGGCGGTGGTGATGATGGTGACGACGACGGTGCTGCTTCTGATGATGATGATGATGATGAGGAGGAGGAGGAGGAGGATACGGAGGAGGAGGATGCGAACGAGGATGGTGGTTGTGGCGATGGTCATGGTGATGGCGATGATGACGAGGAGGAGGACGAGAACGAGGATAATGGTGATAATTATGGTGGCGAAGGTGGTGATGATGAGGATCAAGAAGAGGAGAGTTGTCACATGTGAAATATTACCTCTGCTCTTCTCGAAGAGCCTTCATGGAGTTCATTTTGGCCGTTCTGGGCTGTCCTGGGCTTCAATTGTGCAGTCTTCGGGGTGCCTTGGGGCCGTCTTGGGGCCGTCTTGGGCCGTTTTGGGGCTCTCTTGGTGCATTTGTGGCAGTCTGGGGGGTCTTTTGGGGCCGTGTTGGGCCGTCCAGGGGTTGTCTTAGATTGTCTCGGGTCCCTCCAGGCCCCTTTCGGACCAGATTGAGGCCCTGTTGTGTCCGTCCTGGGCTGTCCAGGGGCCCTCCTGGGCTGCCTTGAGGCCATCTTGGAGGCCTTTTGGGCGATATTGAGGCCATCTTGGTGGGGCCATCTTGGGCCGTCTTGATCTGACGGCAGCCAGAAAAGGCGAGACTGCGACAATTCTTGCTGGAGGTTCTCTTGGAGCCCTCTTAGCCGTCTCGCGGCTATCTTGTGGCCATCGAGGTCGTCTTGGAGGCATCTTGGGCCGTCTTGGCGGCCTTGGTGGCCTGCTTGGGCCGTCTTGTAATCCATGTCGGGCATCTAGGACGCCTTGGAGAGCGCCAGGGTGGCGTCTGGCAGCCCAGAGAGCCCAGGGAGGGGGGAGCAATGCATTCAGATGGATGCTAGTAGAGGAGGGGTGTCCCGTAGAGAAGATTACGGAAGCCCTACCAGACAGCTCTTGGCATTCCACCACGCCTCAACGTGGCGGGTCTGTGACATAGCATGTCTGTTCTGTAAGGGCCAATTTCACAGTCACAGCACATGAAGCACATGTCGTTCTCGTATCAAGAGCTGCGCGCACGAGGTGGCGACCTCGACGTCCTGAAGAGTACACGAGTTGTCGGTACCTCCGACCCTCTACACGGCAAGCCTCTAAATTGCGAAGGACCCCCCCCCATCAGTGGGGTGGGCTTTGCCGTCGGGGACTTCGCTGATCGACATCCTTTCTGGAATGGGTTCTGACAGCGCCTTTTTTCACGTGCAGGCCGATGCGGGCCAGCTGGGCGTTCGATGCGCCGATATTCATCCCCGAACGCCAAATGTCTCTGGGTCTTGGGCAGATGCACAGAACACCGGAGTGTTGAAAAACTCAGTGCAAGGGTGTGCCAAGAAGATTCACCTCTGGGTTCGCGTTGGCCAGATCGAGCTTAAATTCGCTCTGGGTTCTACGTAAGACAGTGCCAGGTACATGAATTTCTATGCCAGGCATCTGGCGCAAGCAGGCGTCGCGTCGGGGGCCTGCTCGGAGAAAACGACCACGAAGACGTCACCGTTGCCCCAGAGGCATGTGCAAAACGCCCGCCCTTGCATGCAGAAGCCGTGCTCGCCGACAGTTCGTCGATATCCGCGGTCGGGATCGCAGCCTCCCGTTGATCATGGATGAGTTTCACGATCGTGCTTGCCTGCACACGCTTATGGGATGGGCACCTGTGTGCCTGCCCGTTCTGGTCGCCGCGCTCCTGGAGCACACTGCAAGATGATGTCAACAACGCCGTCTCAATTCACCACATCGTCACCACTATCATCATCACCATCACCACCATCGCCATCATCAGCATACACATCAACAGCTTCGGCATCATCGTCACCCGCATCACCCTCATCAGCAGCACCACCATCACAATCATCACAATCATCATCATCATCATCATCATCATCATCATCATCATCATCATCACCATCATCATCATCATCATCATCATCATCATCATCATCATTATCATTATCATTATCATTATCATTATCATTATCATTATCATTATCATTATCATTATCATTATCATTCTCATTCTCATTATCATTATCATTATCATTATCATTATCATTATCATTATCATTATCATTATCATTATATCATCATCATCATCATCATCATCATCATCATCATCATCATCATCATCATCATCATCATCATCATCATCATCATCATCATCATCATCATCATCATCATCATCATCATCATCATCATCATCATCATCATCATCATCATCATCATCATCATATTCATCGTCATCATCATTTCCATTATCATCATTACCGTTTCGATCGAGCACCTGCTCAGGGAGCGCCTTTCTTCGTGTATCTGCACCCCCCCCTTCCTGCCCGTCCCCCAGCTGCTTCCTGCGATGATAGTCCGTGCTCGGCTTTTTTGTGGCTCAGGCGGCAGTCGGACCTTCGGCCAATCCACATCACTGTCTCCCAGGCTGCCGCACGGCTGGAGGCTCGGTGGGAAGCGGATCGTCTTCGAGACCTTCGTGGTTCGCTGGATCGCCAGGTGCAGCGGCTTCCAGCGGACGCTGCGTGGGCTGCGGACGCCCAGACTGAGGTGTCGACAGTGCGCCGACAAATCTGGGCGGATTTGGCGGCTCACGAGGCCCGCCTGGCATCCGCCACTCGATTACTGCATACCTAAGGTCCAGTTTTCTTCGCTCTCTTCCTCCTTGTGCTCCTCATCGTCCTACTCCTCCTCCTCCTCCTGTGCCGCGCCTGTCTACAAGCTGTTCGCTTTTGCATGTCGCTATCGCGTATGTTTGAAAATTCCACTCAAGATCTCGCGCAGCGAAGCTCTCGATCATTGCCATCATCCTCATCAGCATCATCACATTCACCACCATGATCAGTTTGATCATGAACATGATCATAATCATCACCCTCATAATCATCACCGTCATCGGCACCATCATCGTCACCATGATCAGCACCATCGTCACCAACAGCAACACAGCATCATCGCCATCGCCATCTTCATCACCTTCATCACCCTGCTCATCATCATCACCGCCATCACCATCACACTTATCATCGCCAACATCACCACAACCACTTCCATCTATAATGAGCGTTCTCTTCACCATCATCATGATAATCATCATCATCGTCATCATCATTCGAGCAGCTCGCCGCGGTAGCGGCAGCCGTGCACGCCGCTGACCACTAAGCGTGCGGCCAGACTGTTGCCGCCTTGCACGATCGATCATCATCATCATCATCATCATCACCATCACCATCATCAGCATCACCATCGCACCGTCATCACCATCGTCACCACTGCCATTATAATCAACATCATCACCAACATCATCATCGTCATCACCGTGTTTTCCTCATCGTCAGCATCATCATTTGAACCAGAACCATGATGACCACCATCGTCGTCGTCATCATCATTACCCTTCTCATCTCCACCACCATCACCATCACAAACATCATCACCATCACCATCCATCATCATCATTAGCACTCTCACTATCGTCATCACCACCATCAGCAGCGTCAGCAGCATCTGCACCACCATTATCATCATCAACATTACCGTCATCATCACCATCGCCACCACCATGACAATCATCGGCCTCACCATCATCACCAACATCGTCATCATTACCACCACCACCTGCATCACCAACATCATCACCACCATCATCATCGCCATCATCATGGTCATCACCGTCACCAGCATCATCACCATCGTCCTCATCCCCGTCCTCAATGTCATCTTCGTGCTCGTCCTCGCCATCCTCATATTCGTGTGGCTACGCGTAGCTGCAAGGGCGCGCGACCAGGAAACTTGTGACTTCGAGCTCCCCTCTGCGCCCCTTGGCGTCCCTCCACTCCCCGGGGAGCCAGAGCCCGCCCCCGCACTCTGGGGCGGAGGCTGGCGCAGCCCTTCCATCGCATCCCCAGTCCGGCAGCTTCGCGCAACGTTGGCGCGGCGGCGACCCCAGCGTTGAACGCCGCCAGAGGCCCAGAGTCGACTGATATCGGACGCCGTGTGATCGCCCAAAGTTGAGCGATCCTCGCGGTGTCAGAAGCCATCGGCGGTACCATCGCGACCTGAACCGACCGCACTTGCAGGCTCACGCTTTCGCGTGGGAGCTGCCACGGCCCACCTCTTCCGCTCGGGTTGTGTGGCAGCCCGCTCTAAAAATGGCTCGCAATGGAGTCCTCCTCGGCCGCCTCGAGGTGCGGCGAGCGCTCCAGCGACGCGGATTCGGCCTCCTTGTGTTTCCTCTCTTTGTCGTTTCCCCCCCTCGCCGTTGCCAGCGACAAAGGGCAGGTTGCAGTGCGTAGATACGCCGACAGTGCGTAAATACGCCGTTGGTTGATTTCCGCCTCCCCCTCCTCCCCCTCCTCCGCCCCCCCCCTTCGTGTAATTGTGTGGTTCAGAAGGTCAGGGGCAGGCGGGGTGAAGCCAGACACCCGCCGATTGCTGCCATGCTGTTATGTTTCACGTGCCTGCTGGACACACTGCGTTTTCTTCTTCCTCCCCGTCGATTGTCCTCCTCCCGTCGCTCTACTTCCCTTTGTGCCCCGCGGCGGGCAGTTTATGGAAACCGTTTGGGGAGCGATGTTCCCCACCCCCCCAGGTCGGGCTCAGTGGGCCCGCTTGTCGTTAGCCCACAGCGCGCACATCATGCCGGATCGGCATGAAATTAGCAAGCTTGTCTACGTATAGCCATTGCCAAGGACAAGGGCGGGCCCTGAAGACTGCACACCCTGATGTTCACCACTCCAGCCCAGAGCCCTTCTGACCTGGCGGATTTTGAGGATGGCGTGTGAGCGTGGAAGAGCGTGGGAGAGCGATAGTTGTCTTTGAGCTGTCTACGGGTTATTCTTCCAGGATGCTTATGGGGCGCTGCATCATCATCATCATCATCATCATCATCATCATCATCATCATCATCATCATCACCGCCATCGCATCGACATTGCTGTCACCATCATCATCATCAGCATCGTCGTCCTCGTGATCACATTGCTAGAGCCATCACCAGGCATTCTGACCCCAAGCCTGCATCAAACGCATATCGCAAATCAACCACGATCTGTTAGACTGCATTTGCCCTTGACGACTTCCCAGAGACGCGGAGTTTGTGCAAACGTATCTATTGGGATTCGTGCGCACGTGCTGTCATGAGAAGACCAGTTTGTCGACACGGTAATAATAATAAAAAAAACACGCTGCGAGCGCATCGCCGTGGGCGCTACGAAGTTGCAGATCGAGATTCCTTTGGATGTTGTCTCGGACATCCCATCGAAGGTAACGCTTGACGGGCATGGTGAAACGATAGGGCTGCATATTCAGGGAGCTTAGCAGGAACGTTGTGCACGAAGTGGGCGACCAGGTAGTATTGGACGGTTCGAAGGGCGGGTTTCGTGCTTCCTCTGCTCTCCTGCTTCCTGCCCTCCTGCCCTCCTGCTTGTTATTCCTTCACCTGCCTTCCTGCTTCCTCTCATTGGGCGCGAAGATGATCTCGAATTGTGTGCTTGGCAGCACGAATCACGAAGTTGACCGACCGAGGGCGAGTGCAAATCAGCCCACTGCAGAGCAAGAGGAAGAAGGGGGCAGACAGGGCGTTGAGCAGCGGCAGCACAGGGCGAGATGGCTTGACCATGCCAGACCGTCATGATGGCCCTGGGGCGTCGCTGGTGCACTGGATGGAGAGGCGTGGGATGGACGGTGAAGGGCAATGAACGGACAAGCGCACCCAGACTCGGCACCACTCGGGGCCTCGAGTGTAATAGCGCTCTGCATGCATTAGTGTTGGGTGCAGCCGTAGATGTGGAGTGGCGTACAGATGTGTGTTTGCAACTAGGTGTTTCGATTTGTCCTTCTCTCTCTGCTTCTCCTCCTTTGTCGAGTGGCTGCGGCAGTTTGTCTTGAGGCTGACATGCGTGTTGATGCCTGAGCCCTGACGGCTACTTGGCACACGCCTTCACGGTCGTCATGAGCCATTGGCGTTGTGGCTGATGGCTGCCCTTCCACCAAGCAGGCGCACGATGATGGCTGTGCCAGCGGAAGTCAGAAATTAAGAAGCAAGTGTCAGGTGGCTGCGTGCGCTGCCTGAGGCAGACACGTAATTTCCAGGCAGTCAGAATCAATTGTTCTGGCGATTCTGAGCCCAGCTGCATGGACGAGCCGAGCGATGCTTGTCCCCAGTTCGAGTAAGACTGACCGGGGAGGGGGTATCTTGAAGGTCGACACATCGATGGCCTACGTCGGCAACAAGTACAACGCGCTCCCGTGGAAGGAGTGCTCACTTCGAGCCCGTATTAGCACAGAAAGAGGTCCCAGACGTGCTTACAAGCAATACGCTGAAATAGTGATAGCTTCATGCTTTGCTCCTTCGGCGCCTCCACAACATACTTATACTATATATGCGTCGGCCCCCCTGGGGCGACGGGCACAGCGAGAAATCTTATAGTATATGCGTCGTGACGGGCGCTTTCTGGCCACACCGCTCGGGAAACGATATACTACAAGACGGGTAGCTATACGTTTGGTTCGGACGCGCGCCTCCAAGGAGGACCTATAGTACTAGTGTGTCTCTGCGCGTCCAACTCCTCTCTCTCGGGCATCACTTTTGTCCCAGAGTCGTCGCGGTGGGATGCCTGGCGACCTGGCAGTTCCCCTGGCGGGGTTTCGAATGGTTCCGTGCCCGCCTGTACGGCATGTTCACGTCGTGCCGCCGCGGCAGCGACCCCTCCTCGGGCGTTGAAGGTTGAACGCCGCCGTCTGAAAAAACCAGGCGATCGAGAAGCCGCCAATCGTTCAAGACTTAACGATCCATGTGGTGTCAGAAACCTCTTCACGGCACGAGCCTGCCGTAGTTGCTCGTTCCTTCCAGGACATGGACATGCTGGCTGGCGGGCCGCGTGCGAAAACGGGATGGGCGCCACCTTGAAACATCTGAGCATGTTCAGGGGGAGACCGAGAAGGATAATGAGAAGGAGGATGATGAAATGAAGGAGCAATCACGGGAAGCATGAGGAAGAGCATGATGTTCATTATGATCATGTGTGTACGCATTTGTGGCAGTTAAATGCTTCTGGGGCCCTGAGCTGGTGCCTCTCTTCCCCAAGGGACTTCCTTGGGGGGCAAAGCTGGTCGGGAGACCTCCTGGGGACTGGCGAGGTCGAGATGGGTTCTCACGGCCCCACCTCGCCTGAGGATAGCATCAGGGAAGCCATAGTTTGGCCAAGCAGTGCTCGAGTAGGACCCCAACGGGCCACAGGAGCTTTCTTGTGGTGCCAGGCAGGCCTTCAGAGAGTGGCCAAGAGGCGCTCAGGGATGGCCTAGCCCAGCAACAACACATCTGATTTGATAGTTTTACTTTCCAGTGCTTCACCGCCTCAGATGGGTTTGTGGACGTCTAATCAGGCCGAAAGGGCAGCAGGGAGCCCCCGCACGGCCCAAGAGGGTGCCCAGAGGTTACCAAGACGGCCCCGGGGATCCCTCTAAGGTCTAAAGACGACCCAAGACGGCCCCACAGGGCTTATGATATCCCCAAGAGGGCGCCAAGGTAGCCGCTACGCGGCACGAGGCCCTCAGATGGCTTCCCTGAGGGCCCCACGATGACCCCGCAGAGTATTGAGCGACCCCCATTTTTTGCCGAAAAGATCATCCACCCCGGCTTGTACGCATGGACGTTTACAGCAGTGCTTTTCGCCGTATTGGGATCAAATCTTACACGGGATGGTGGCCATGGAAGTGTTGACCAATTGTATCTTAATGTGTCAAGTTCTTTCACATGATGTTCCTCCCAGCGACCCATGATGTCACCATGCATGGACCCTCGTCGCCTTGGCGGGGCAAGAACCCACCAGTTGCGACAACTCGCGGACCCCCCCCCCAAAAGTCCAGGGGAGGGGGTAGGGGGAGGGGTAAAACCCTCCCCGTAGGGGAAGGAGTTTTTTTGGAAGAGGGAAGATTAATCTCGTTAGACCACCTGCGCCCAGAGGGCTGGTGGGATTAATCGTATGATGATTATAGTTATTTTTAGTATTCTATTCATCTTGACGTGTCTCCTTCTTCTTCGCCATCTTCTTCTTGATCTCATTGGTTCAACTTCAACTGATATTACTATTCCTCCTCCTCCTCCTTCTCCACCCTTGTCGTCTCCTTGTCGTCGTTGTTGTCATCCTCCTCTTTCTCCTTTTCCTCCTCCTCTTCCTCCTCCTCTGCCTCCTCCTTCCTCGTCCCTTTGTTGCCCCATCGCCTCCTCCAGCTTCTCCCCCCCCCCCGCTTTTCTCCCCCCTCTACCGCCGCCGTGGCGGTGGTTGTCGCCGCCGTCCTCCTCTCCGCCCTTCACGCCGTCCTCCTCGCCGCCCCGCTGTCTGCCTCCTCGTCCTCAAGCCGTCCACCTTCCTCGCCGTCGCCCGCTCCGCCCGCGGGCCGCGAACTATCCCTGCCGCCCGCCCTTGGGACGAGCGGAGGCCCGCCCCCGCAGGACTTCATCGACATCAAGATCGACGCCAACAACCTCATCGAGGCGCCCGGCTCCAGCGGGCACGGGGACCCAGGGGCACACACACAACAGATGCACAGCAGCCAAATGCCATAGTCTCGGCTCCTCGAAGGGAGAGCACAATCGGGCACGCCGCCAGAGCTGCGGCCGCGCCGGCACGTCTGGGTGTGAGCGTTTTTTGTTTTGTCTTCGGGCCCGGCGATCGCATCGATGGCGCATAACTAGCATGACGAAGGTGTCGGTGAGGTTGTTGACGATGATGGTGAGGACGATGCTGATGGTGATGGTCATGGCGGTGATGATGCTGCTGCTGACGATTTTGATAATTATGATGAGGTGGGCGGCGGCGATGATGATGATGATGGTGATGATTGATGATGATGATGGTGACGATGATGATTCTGATGCTGATGATGCTTAGTATTATTAATGTTGTCATGATTCTTATGCTCATTTCAAGTATTATTATTCGCGTCATTATGATGGTGATGGCGATAATGATAGTGATGGTGATGAAGACCATGATGACGATGATAATGGTGATGATGATGATGGTGGTGGTGGTGGTGATGATGGTGGTGATGATGGTAGTAGTGGTGATGATGATGTGGTGATGGTGATGGTGGTGGTGGTG